ACTCAGGTTTATTTTTGTCCGAATTAACCCGATCGGAAATGTCGGAAGGTGATTTTCAAGGCAAAGACCCCATATGTTTTTTGAATTTTACCAGCGGGAAGATACATTTGTGGATTTTCATTGGCAAGGTGTGGTATTTATATTTAAATCGTAAATGTTTACTTAACAAAAATTACATACCTGTCATACAATATTAAAATTTTTTAATTTCATCATTTTAAAAATAATAATTTATTAGCTAATCACATAACTTACATCATAAAAATAATTAAGCATGTATTGCGAAGTTAATTTAAAATATTGCAATAAAGTATATAAATGTTCTAAAATAAAAAAAATAAATGATTTATTATTTTTTTCAAGTATTGTTTTATATAGATTCACAAATACATATGTATAACTAATACCAAAAAAATTATTCAATCTTCAAATTGTATAAAACCGTAATTAAACTTAATTATTCCTAACGTGAATATATATATACTCGAGTAGTAAGAGTATCTATTTTACAGATATTAATTTTTGAATCCAAAAATTCTATGCCATCGCTTGGGCAATGTAAATGCACGTAACATAAATATCACAAAGAAGCTAAGATATAACGCGTTATACCGAAAAAATACACCAAGAGAAACGCACTTTTGCAGTCGATTAAAGTAAGAAATATAAAAAGATTCAACAAAAAAAGAATTAGTATATAACACAATTTCTCACCATTGTTATCCATTCGTAAATCTAACTACCATCACACTTAAATTATCGGTACTGAAATTTTGTAATGCATGTTTAATCAATTTTGTGCTCGCTTCCTGTGGATCCATAATATCTTTAATGAGATCCACAGCTTCCTGATCATTACAAACATCCCACAGCTGAAAAAGAATATATAATAATATAAATACTAATAAATACAAGGAAAAATCAAAATACTAAAAACAAAAACTTACACCATCGCATGCAAGTATCAAAAATGGATCCTTTTCTGTCAAAGTTGTTTCTGTGGTGTAAGGTTTACCTATAACAAAATCTTTCATTGAATAATCACCAAGTGAACGTGTCACGGCCAATACACCTATCAAATGAAATGAGGAGACATGAAATATTTCAAGGAACACGTAATAAAAAAATTACTGAAGACAATCCAGTAACAAACCATTAACGCGGTTGTTCATGACAAAGCCACCAGCTTCAACAATTCTTTTAGCTTCTTGAGGATCACTTCCTTTATGATCATAGGATAGCCTAACAGCTTTCCCATCCCGACTATATAAGATATATTACATTAATTAGACAAAAATTAAAGAAAAGCATCAACCCAATTAATAGCAACATACTTCAAAACAGCGCGAGCATCACCAACATTTGCAGTATATAAAACACGCTACATTAAAGGAATGAAAAATATTACCAGCTGCTAACCAGTATAAAACACATAAATTGAATCAACAACATACCTTGAATTTCTTCGTCGAATCAGCGCCATTGCATACTGAAGGATCCTTACCATTAATATCATTTCCATTTGTTATTTCTTCAGACCTCAAAAAAGCGGTAACAGCCGTGCATCCAGAATGCTTTCCAGCATTTTGGTTAAGTTGCTCATCTGCCCGCAGAAAAGCGCAATTAAAAATTTCCTGAACAGATATATTGGCATGTTTTTGAAGGACATCTTGAAATATCTAAATATAAAATGTAAACAGAAATTTATTAGTGATGCACAATGATAATATTTGTCAATTATGAATATTAAATTGCAAATCCGATAATATATATATTTTTTTTTTATGCACCATTAACGCTATCCTACACAGAACAAAAAGCACACATAAGAAAATATCTGAATTAATCATTTTTTTATTGAATTTTTATTCTTTACCTCATGAAAATGATTTCCGCACCATTCGGCGGCTTGTTTACCAGCATGACCGTCAAAAATTGAGAAGAAACCTTGGCCCTCAATTCCCGCGAAATCATAAAAATATGAGTGCGCATCCTATTAAACGATAAGTTTTGCGAAGGATTATATTTAATTGAGAAAATGTCAAGGTGTCCTGCTTTGAAAACTTTTGATCGTAATGTAGTTAAAATTCTCATAGGCAAAAAAGCCTTGGTACAGCGTATGTAAAGTAGCAAAATATTCTATACCTCCATTGTACGTCTACAACGTCTATTTCGGTCCTCACTCACACCCACATGAAAATAAGGAAAATCTCTTATACTTGTCATTTGCAATTGTAGATTTTAGAGATTCTCCTTTTATATATATATATAATATATGGTTATAATAAAGGCTATCGTAGCAGAATCTTTTATTGACTAAAAAAGCTTATCGTTATGACAAGATAGTAAATACATTATTTCTTGGTAAAGCTATGCTAAAGAATTTTGCTTGCATTTGTGCTACATTTAGTCACCCAATGCGACATATCACCCACCTCTTTTTCCTTATCTAACAAAATTTAAGACGAGGAGAAAACCTCTCGAGTGGCAGGTAAGTCACGAGCACTATAATGTTATATCAATATACGTATTAACAAACTATTGTGTTAGTGTTATTAGTTTTTGTGACGTTTAGTTTATTACACAACCGTGATATCAATATTTTTGAGTTTATAACGATAAGGTAAATGTGGGTATATATGTTGTAAGTGGAAAGGAATTTAAGTGGATTCGGGATTTATATTTAAAACCCCCGGTTTGGGGTTGATTTTATCATATGTACACCCTAACCCTAACCCTAATTTAACTAGGAAATTCCAAATCCACTTAAATT